TTAGCTGAGTTTATTTATGAAATTGTCTTTATCAAACTTTATGAAAACTCTATATATATGTCTTTGTCAGATATCACTCGATGTAATAATGAAATGTTTACCATCAGTCACGACAATGTATATAGAGACATTTCACTTTCCCAACCAATGTTGTCACTGTGATATTATCAACTGATGCTTTGTTAGATACTTAGTACTTACTGTTTTGTGGATGGAGAACAGTAGTAAGTATAATATATCTAAAACGGATTTAATTACCATTATTTTTTTTAGCTGTTATTTTGTTCTCTGAATTACCCCTACACACACGCCTCTGTCTGTTGTCTACTCCTTGCCACCTACCTTTATTACACCAATGAGAGACGGAGCAAAACATATCGGTTGCAGGTTGTATGAAAAAATGATTCCTCCATAAACATTTACAGCTTTATGACGTATGGTATACCACACATCATAAACGGAAAACCCTATGAGATTCAGACGAAATATTTCGAAATTTGTACACGAAAAATCTTGCTCTTACATATTGCATTATACAATAAGATGAAGCTAGCGGATAAAGATAAGCGTTAGATTTAATATTTATGGATTTGGTCATGAGAAACTTCATGTAATAAATATAACGTATTTATGATGACTTAAATGGTGACGTATCTTTGATCGTGTATATACTCATTCGTATTCTGGCTTTTAAATCTGAAAGGGACTGTAATATTTCCAAACTATTTATTCATATAGAATACTAAACGAGCTCCCGTGTAATACCAATTTTATGAAACGAGTGAATAGTTGTGGTATATGACGAGCGAAAGCGAGTCAGATACCACAACTATTCACGAGTTTCATAAAATTGGTTTTACACGGGAGCGAGTTTAGTATTTTATTTATTACTTGCCATTTATAACGTTTTTAGAATTATACTGTTGAGTGTGAATAGGCTGACACCTACACGATCCACGGCATAATCCAATTCAGTTTAACACAATAATACTTCAAACACGTCAAAAGTTGAAACGTATGAATTTAATACCATACAACGGCCCACCTTTAGAATTCAGGCGTCCGTTCCATAAAATTATCGTAGCGTTAAGGTTATCGCAACTCACATACTTTAACTTGGACCAACGACTGTCGTTGCGCTACAGTACGATCGCTTTGTGGAACGGGGCCTTGCAGCTCAAGGTTTACAATCACGTCACAATACCCGATGACGTAATTTGTGGAATTTTGTTGCAAGATCCTTCGGCGAAACAATGCCATGTGATGTCAGCCCAGCAACACGGTTGCTGGGGTCATCGAGTGTGCATAAGCTCCTCTCAGTGATCTATCATCTCCACACGCAGTGTCGTTGAATAAGCCAAGGGATGTTGAGAGCTTTCAATATTTGTTCTAGAAACGTGTTCCGAGAGTACATAAGCACGCGTTTTGGTATTACACAATGTGTAATACAGCTGTATGTTTATTAAACGGGTGATCTCTTCACGGGCAAGTAATAAATTTAAATACCAAATATACCCAAGTTGTAGTTTATTGTATCCATCACAAAACTTGTACGCAGCAGCTACTTTGTTACATATGTTGATAAGATTATAACTGTGTTCCTTTTTTTTCAAAACAACTTAACAATCAACGACCTATGATTGCTGTTTAACGCCGCACTCAGTAATATTCCAGCTATATCACGGCGTCCTGTAAATAATCGAGTCTGGACCAGACAGTCCAGTGAATGGTACTGTGAGCAATGATCCAAGGTGACACGCAGCCAACCAATGGATTCACTCCCAGTATGAGTGAGTGAGTATGGTCTTACGCCGCTTTTAGCAACATTCCAGCAATATCACGCGGGGAACACTAGAAATGGGCTTCACACATTGTACCAATGTCGGGAATCGAACCTGGGTCTTCGGCGTGACGAGCCAACGCTTTAACCACGAGGCTACCCGACCGCCCCTCTCTCCCAGTATGACGATGTAACCGAGCCTGACCACCCGATCCATTAAGTCGTTTCTTACCACAAGCAAGAGACCAATTATTGCTTGGAATACAGCGGATTTTCAATATGGTATTTGCAATGGTATTTCTCTGTTGATGGTATATGTTGAGAAATCCTTCTTATTCTATCTAGACATGGCATTCCTTAATAATTGTAATGTAATGAACATATTTAATTGTGTCTAGAAGATATCTTCGTACATCCACAGCTGATCACGTGACTGTACTTGTCACTTCATATACAAACTGTGGTATCTCCAGAAGAATTGTGTTTGGGTATTATTACCGTATTAACGCAGTTCAGTTGGATTATGGAAGATAAAAACTACAATCTAATTGTTTGGTCTTGAGAAAACACAACCCAGTCAGCTGACCGGTTGGTATGGCCATTATGACGTCACACTGTTTCATAAAACATTTTTTACCACGTCACACCCCGATGTGTGTGCGTGCACATTACCTCAAAACATTAGCGACAAAATACATTTCCATAATCATAAAAAAATTCTTCTAAGAGCAGTGTCGATTGTACGATTCCGACATGATCATAACCATGTGTTTATGAATCACTATCAAATAGTGAAAAGGTGAGCGTATCCTGCCCCACCGGTAGCACTCGAACAAACACATGAAAAGGCAAGTAGGTTGTTTCTCTTAAAGGGGAAGTGTACACGCAAAAATCACTTTTTATCTTTTTCTAAACAAAACGAAATTTTAGAATTAATTAGTATCTGTGTTTGAAAATATACACTCATTTTTTTCACAGTGAAAGTAGGAAGCTCACAATAGTGTGAAAATGATATGCCGTTATGAGGCCTTCCTTTTTCGAGCTAAACAGGCCTGAGTTATCCCCCTTAGATTATGACGTAATTGGTGCCAATTCAACTGGGTCCCTGTCTATTCTGAACGCAAAAGATATCAAGTACCAGTTTGCGGTAAAACAACATGGCCTACGACACATTCCGGCGCAGTGGTGACTCAGCATAACACTATGCTGGCTGGCATCTGAGACGCTAGAATCACACACCTGTACCTACACCACGTGAAGCGGCTCTAACAAAGCATGATGACGTCATAATGTTTATCAATTGGCACCAATGACGTCATATTGCAAGGGGCATAAGCCATGGTGTTTTTGTTGTGGAAAAAGAACACTTGGTAAATGTGAAAAATATAAATCGTTTTAATGCGAAAAATATGTTAATAAATTGTGATATTTTTATATTTTTGTCTATGACACTTCTAGGTTAACACTTTTAATGTGGAAAAAGTACAAGAAAAATAGGTTCATTTCCGTGTGAACTTGCCCTTTAAAGAACACGGGAACATATGTTGCTAGTCAAAATAGCAGATTGCATCGGACATCATTTTGTCACTGATGCGTCAAATTTGTCCTCCACATGCCCCCAATAAAACGTTTTTAAAGCTTGACTTAGGCCTTGAATATTGTAACTCTAATCAAACAACTTCTGAGCAAAAGTCGTATGACTCTCTGAAATCTTGTGACGAAAGCATGCTCGAATGTACCTCAAAAGTTGTGAAATGTAGGCACCAAAGGCGTCAGCCGATGGAATACTTCTCGAGATGTAAGGAAAATTGGCAATTGGAAAGTCATCCCTCTTGTCATACAGTCTTGTGGAGAGTGCTTTGTCACTCTGAATCTTTATGCACATATCGGATATAAACATATTTATTTCAATAAAGTGGAGGGATTGGCAAACAAGCAAATTTTGCTTATCTGAATGCCTCTCCCACGTGCACATATCTCATATGAAACAGATGAGGCGGTTTCACTGGTCACTCTTCCAGGTCAGATGTGTAAATCAGTGGAAGCGAATTAGCTATTTGGTCATCAGATAATCCATATCTAAAGCTTAAGTCAAACGTGTTGGCCAAATTCCTTTGTTTTGACCTTGTCAATACGAGCAGAACGTCCGACTCATAAACATAGAACAACAGACCAGCAAGACGGGAACACAGACCAGCAAGACGGGAACACAGACCAGCAAGAAGGGAACACAGACCAGCAAGAGAGCACGGTTGGTGCCCATGGGGATTCCTACTTCTTGCCTAGATGTCTTATCCCCAAATCCCACATAGATTCATTTAGCATCAGTGAGGACGTCCAGGATTTCATATTGTGTTTTCGTAGTAAACTTCACATTACATTTGCTTTTTTTTTTTACAAATTGTCCTGAACCTTCACCGCGTTTAGTGACACATGCCTCATGGATCAAGGAACGAACGTTTTCTTTAAGTTTGTTGTGTTGACCAACCAAGTTGACAAAATGAAATGTATTGGAGTAATCGAACTTGGTTCTTTTCTGAGATTGCAAACATTCAAAAAAATACTTTGAGTTTTTTGAAAATCCACATGATATTAATTCCACTTTACTAAAATACTTTCTGTAATTGTAAAGAAAGTCCTCCCTTAAATGTATTGATGATTAGTCAACTTAATGGAATTTTTATGCGGCAATGTTTGACATTCATCGTGTGACCGATCTCTTTGATCAAACAATTAGGGTATTAAACAGAAACTGTTGTACTAAATTATATTTCAGAACTGATTTTTTTTGCGTTTATGGGGGTGTGCACATTAATCCGCTTCGTGACTAAAGCTAAATTTGTTACATATTTTACTTGTACGATAGTTTTCGAGCCTCAACGTTCATTATATTAATATGCACTGTTGTCCTCCGCTAATGGCGCACATGACGCATTACTCCGTATTAACGTAGGCCGTTTTGTGAGTTCAGAGGTTTCACACTGTATATCTTAGAACTTATAATGCTTCAAAGAGCAAACCCAACACGACATGGAATTACACGACATAGCACTTTATTTACAATTATTTGCATCTCTGTACACCCTGCGTGTCCACCTGGTTTAAGAGTTATCCCCCCTGGTTCACGGACACAATGTAAACACAATTTCCCAAACCGTTGTTTTGTTGCGGTATGCCACCACTTCATACCATGTTTAACACACAGTCTTTCATCACAATAACAGTGTGTACCCAGAAAGTATAGAGGGTCGTTTGGGAACATAAATCTGAAGCAAAATAGCACCTCGATTACCGCTAGCCTTTGTTGGTGTACAGCCAGTGTGGTTTCATCCGCTTCCGTCTCTGTAGACCTCAGTGTTGCAGGTAGTCACATAAATAGGTCCATCGGTATGTATAAATATATTGCAAGGTTCATTTTAATATATATATTTCATATAAATATACTGCAAGTTTCAACAATAAAATATTCATGCATAACAAGACCCCACATGTGACGTCATGTGACTTGGGGGGTTGGTCATTACGTGATTCTGGAGGTTTGGGTAGATATTGGCGTTATGTCCGGACCAATAATTCCCAGGGGCCCCAAGAATCCCTGACGTCACTGCCGGAACGGACGTATAAGCATTGGGAAAGTTCATTTTAGGCGTGGTGTAACTTGACAGAAACAGGTCTTGGTGTCTGTAAGGGCTCGGTTCTGGGGCCGCGGGCTGAATGGCTTGGGCTAAGCCAGCAAAGTCAAACTTATAGGCGTATCTCTTTCCGTGGACCTTCGTCATGATGTTCTTGTCGTAGTAGTACCGCAGTGCACGGCTCAGTTTGTCGTAGTTCATGTTGGGTTTGCTTTTCCTCTCCCCCCAGCGTCTGGCGACCTCATCCGGGTCCACGAGCTTGAACTCGCCATTGGTCCCCTCCCACGTGATGGTAGGCGCGTTCCGACTGTCCGACAACAACTCGAGAAGGAACTGCCACAGCTGGATCTGACCGCTGCCTGGGAAGAGAAGACAAGGCATCTTGTGATTCATGTTTTCAGTTTTAAATGAGTGAGTGAGTATGGTTTTACGCCGCTTTTAGCAATATTCCAGCAATATCACGGTGGGGCACACCGGAAAATGGGCTTCACACATTGTACCCATGTGGAGAATCGAACCCGGTTCTTCGGCGTGACGAGCAAACGCTTTAACCATAAGGCTACCCCACCGCCCCTTTAGTTTTAAGGGTGTATGGTAGCCTAGTGGTTACAGCATTGACGTGTCACTTGTTGATTTATGACATCCATACATATGAAGCTCATTTTTGAGTCCTGTACCATATTCAGCTACTCACTATATATTATAGCTACGTAATATTACTATCGAAGGCAATTCAGAGTGAGTGTGTTTAACGCTTCTTTGAACAGTATTTCAGTTATATAACGACGTGTCACTTTGATGTGGGAGGAAAGCCCAACATGATGAATGTCTTAGACGATTACCACTTGGTAAAACCCACGAACACGGGTCTGGTGCCAACAAATCAAGAATCATAATTAGGGCGAATCTGTTGTTTCGAAGACACGTGCATAGGTTCCTAACACGCCAAAGGGACGCAACTCTGCACAAAGAGATGCTTTTCATGACTGTTCCCCAACAAATACAGCAGTTCCGGCATGAGCAGATACGTTCTGGCACGAGTTTTCTACCTTACTTACAATTAAAACAAACTGTTAGCACGTAACGCATACGTGACACATCACTGCAGGCTATTTTTGCACCACTTGATCAAATTCCGATGCAAGAGCACTCAGATGTTTTATGAATGAGCCTCGCTACACTGAACTAACTTGCAATTGAACGACAAGCGATTCTATTGAACATTAGACCACTTCCCCGCTGAATTATTATCCATTTAATTAGAGTTAACTGTTGTTGTGATCCATTTTATCTTGAAGATGTATTTAAAACAAATACTTAAATGAATGTGTAATATGAAATGACATCACAAAAGAATATATGTAATTATACCTTTATCACAACATTTGATTGTGATGTTGTTTTGTAACATGTCAACAATATGTTGAGGCGTTTAACACAAAGCTGAATTATGTATGATCAACACATATGATATATATTTTTCAGATATTGTTGCTTCATCTCATGTTATAGCTAATGAGTGAGTGAGTGAGGTTGTACGCCGCCCATTATAATACTACAGCAACATCACGGGATAATGGCAGTCAAACATTGGACCAATACTTGGAATCGAACCCGGGCCTCTGGCGTGACGAGCTGTAACCACTAGGCTACCCCACCCCCTGTGTCAAGTGTGTGAATATTATTTAGCGCCACAGATAGCAATTATCAGGTATATCATGGCGCCACATTGCTGCCAACTTCATTCGTCAGTATTTATGACAAGCATGACAAGGGGCCTTATTTGAACGGGCTACACGTGTACAATTTCTTTCTGACATAATCTTTGCCCACTTCGTGTGATGGTCAAATGCAGTGAAAGCTCGGAATACCAACCTGTATTTGACAGCCTGCTTGATAAGTGTCCAAACAATTTATAGGGATCTGCAACACAAAATCGCTTGATTAATTGATATAATAAAAATAACAAATAAGAATATGGATAGCTATCATATTATAGAAAGTGTATATTGACTTGAAAATAAAGCAAGAAAAGCGTTTCTGGACAATTATAATACCCGTCAGTAATACTCGTTAACAACAATAGTCTTACCTTGCGTCCGCCAGGAGGCGCTGTGATCCATCCCACCTTTACTGACACCGGGAAACGCACCAGGGTTGAATCCTGAAATGTCAACATCCACGGGTTAAAGTTTTCTTTAACAATTACACAATAAACTACAGTAAACTGCGGTTATAACGAACTAAAAAGGACCACTAATTTTAATTCCTTATAACCGTAGTTCGTTATAAGCATATGTACAGCATATATGCGGCAAATGGACGGGATCAAGAAATAGTTCGTTTTATCCTTCAGTTCGTTATAAGCGTGTTCGTTATAGACGTAGTTTTCTGTTATTAAGAATTGCTAGGGATATTAACATAATTTTATATCTTGAGACCTGATAATTATTTTATTTATTTGTTGTTTATCGCTTCTGTCTGAAATATTGAAGGTATATCACAGTGGCCCCGTCATCAACCAAGTCACTGAGTGCCATCACTGTATCTATTTGGATTCTGGGTTATACCAGGTGCTCAACCTATGCTGGTCGTGAAAGGTGACCAGATGGATGGGGTGTGAGGCTCGGTGACTTGGTTGATTCCCAGTCATCATACGTTAAAGGCGTTGGACGTTGGTTTGTCTAGCCTGGACTAGATTAATTTATACCGGCTTCATATGGCGGGAATATTGCTGAATATTGCTCAATTGTTTACAGATGGTCGTCAAATAGATGGAATATTACTGAGTTATTACACAAACAAACATAACTTAATCAACATTCGTAACTTCTAATATATTTAGCAATTCAAAAATTGTATTATATTTAATTATGTCACTTCATGAGGTTTATGCACCTGATATAATTTGAACTGCACAGAGAGTGGTCGAGAAGCCAAGAGGTTAAAATGTTTGCTTGTCACGCGAAAGACCGGGATCAATTCCAACATGAGCACAATGTTAGAAGCCCATTTCTGCTGCCCAGGGTCGTAATATGCCTGGAATATAGCTAAAAGCGGCGTAAAACTGTTCCCACTCACTCACTCAATCACTAACACAACGTGGGGCGGTCAGGTAGCCTAGTGGCTAAAGCGTTCGCTCGTCACGCCGAAGACCCGGGTTCGATTCCCGACATGGGTACAATGTGTGAAGCCCATTTCTGATGTCCCCCGCCGTGATATTGCTGGAATTTTGCTAAAAGCGGCGTAAAACCACACTCACTCACTCACTCACTAACACAACGTAATTGATACACCGCTTATAACTAGGGAGACGCTTGTTCTCACAACATGATGCAATATCCACCGCTACTTTGGTGCTGTCTAGCCCATGGAGTGCTCACCGACCAACTGGTTATTGTCAGAGTTGCATTTATGAGATACATTGCCTAACATTTAACCTATGGTATGAAAAAGATTTATATTATATGTATTAAATATACATGTACAAGACAGGCGCCAGTAAATATTTCCATGTACAGACTCCTGACACAGGAAACATATACTTGTCTACCTAAAAGGTTAGACAAAAGAAAGTTCACACCCATGTTTCATGGTGGTTAAATATGAAACAAACAAGATACGGTTATTCGATGGTGAGGTATTCATTTGATACGGGTATCAAAGGCGAAATTACATGCATCATATCAATGAGTATCTCACAACAAGCGACTGATTTCAGTCTAGTAACGTTTCTGAAGTTTTGGTCAAATCCAGTTTTCAAGTGTGTATTTTGCTTTGCCCGGCAGGTTATTGTACACCTGCAAGACCTTGTTTCAGGGTGTGTATAGCACTACTCACCGTGAGGGGATCCGCCCTGTGTCAACCATGGGGACTTGGCCAGGTCAGCATCTGAACAAAGTATGTGCCACGGTTAAATGTAACTTCCCTTCATAGAATGAGCGATATGAGGTCATAATAGTGACGTGCGGTGTAAAACGAAACCTTTGCACGGCTTGCTTAGTTTTCTTTAGGGGTGCCCACCTCATGTTAGCTTCCGAAACTGGCGTGCTACATGCTTTCAATGCCTGTCATAAGTTCGAGTGAAGTATTAGGCTGTTAACACACTGCTTCGTCATATAGAGCCCCATGTTTTGTTTAAAGGCTGTTGTCAGTGATTCTGATCGAAATCCTACTCAAAACAATAGACTCAACCTATGCCGCTTCACTCAATAAATATGCAGGGGCGGTGGGGTAGCCTAGGGGTTAAAGCGTTCGCTCGTCACGCCGAAGCCCCGGGTTCGATTCCCCACATGGGTACAACGTGTGAAGCCCATTTCTGATGTCCCCCGCCGTGATATTGCTGGAATATTGCTGACAGCAGCTTTAAGCCATACTCACTAACTCAGTATATTCGCTAACACCATAGAGTTTGCGTTTTATTTAGTCATGGTAGAATGGAGCTGAAATTAACATTTGAAACCTCACGCTGCGCCTTCGTTTCCAAATTCAATTTAGCGGGGTTAAATCTACATGTAACCTAGCTCTACATTGAAAGCATAGTATGTTTATCGCCAAATTAGGCCCCTGATAACATGACCTTTATATATTAGTTTTATATATATCATTATATTTGTATATGTGTATACGTTCCCAACAGTAAATGTCAGAAAGGGGTTCCAAATGAACAAAGAATTACTTTGTTAAAGTGTAATGTTCCTACCTTGCCTGTGTGCTGCCCCCATGGAGTCGGGTGTGGACAGGGTGGGGTAGGACCACGACCCTGGGGATGAAGGGACGGAGGGCGTGTTCACTACCCCCCGGTCGCGATTATCTGGGGGTAGGGGAGAGATACAGCTGGAGCTCGCTGAAACGGAACATAATATACACTTCAATACATCCATACAAGTATTCAGTACAGGACAATATAAGTATTTAAGCAATCAATATCAACACTTTCTGTTAACACTGATCTCCGATATGTAAGACCCGTGAAGATTCGGGGTAGAATAGATCTTCAGCAACCCATGCTTGTCGTAAAAGGCGACTAACGGGATCGGGTGGTCAGGCTCGCTGACGTGGTTGATACATGTCATCGATCCCAATGGCGTCGATCGATGCTCATGATATCAATCACTGGATTGTCTGGTCCAGACTCGATTATTTACAGACCGTCGTCATATAGCTGGAATATTGCTGAGTGCGGCGTTAAACAACAAACCAACCAACCAACCAACCGATATGTAAACTGCGCACCTATAATAAGCTCATCCATTAACACAATGCTTTTGAAATGAAAGTTTTTCTTTGACATCTGTCCTTGGGGTATTAGAAATATGATTTAATGCGAATTGTGAATATAATGAACATTTATTACAATATATAAAATGTCAGCGTCAGCGTCTCGATGAACAGCCGAAACGGAAAAAATATATGAATGGATCACTGAAAATCAGTGATGGCACAGGTGTTAGCATGACCTGCGCTACCGGTAGCACCCGCCACACTATTTTCATAAAAAAGTAAGTGTTTGTTTGTTACCTGACGCCGCACAGCAGTACTCCTGCCATGCGACGACCAGACAATCAAGTGATGTGATGAACACAAACTCCGGTGACACGATAGAGCATTTACTAAGTTTATGGTTCATGGAGTTTGTCCATTGTTCCTCAATATACCGTGGGTAAAAACTAAGTGAACGCACATAAAAGAAAAGCGACGATCTCTATGCATCCGAAGATGAATAGTGTCTAATGTGAATAATAAGTAAAAACAATATCAATCAATATCATTTCAGTTGTTCTGATCTTAACTCAGGTTTATGGTGTTTAGCTCAAATCATTTATGTTATGAACAATTTTGAAATCTTTCTTTTTCCGTTTTATGTCTTGCATTGGAATGACTCATGTCAAGATAAACATAACATGTGTCTGCCAATGAATGCTATATAGCAACAAGTTAATGACAAAAATGGAAACGATAGAAAACTTTATAAGAAAACTACACGAAAGTTACACAATGATTGTAGGTTTGTTGTATATTCAAAAAACACTTCTCTACACTTGTCATTGCTTGACAGATTATCAATAGTTGGATGAAAGAATCGGTAGTCCTTAACTTCTTTTGAGTAGTACAGAAGCATCGGTATTGAAAATAATGCATATCGACCTAAATCGGTATGTTTGGGCATCGAGTACTCAATAAACCATGAAACATACGAGTGAGTGAGTATTAGTTTACGCCGCAATATCCAGCAAAATCACGACGGGAGACGCCAGAAATGGCTTCACGTGATATATACGAACATATATAGTAGAATTCCTAAATAATGCTTGTGGGTTTGACCTTAGTGGTAAACGCCTGACCTGCATCACTTCCTCTCATATCAAGCTGACAGGCCGTGACATAACTGAAGTAACGTTCAATGCGGCGTTAAACAAAACTCACAAACTCCGGTTCCAAATGAAGTTCTTTAAAAACTTTAAAAAATGTTTTCTTTAAAATGATTGTATCTTCGAAAGAAATGTATGTATAACCTTATAGAAATACAGATCGAAAAAGGAATGGCAGCGTTCCATCAACGTGTGATAAATTAAAAACGTTATATTGCAAAAAGACTTATAATCACCTTGTCGCAGGTAGTTGAGGTGAGTAAACAGCACCTCCGCCTCGTATGGTCCAACCAGACGACACATGTCGTCACGTGACATCCGGCACAGCTCGCGACCATCCACGTGCATGAACCTTGCAGGGTCCACCTCCCTGAGGCCGTATTCTCGTGCCGCCCAATCCACCCACTGCTGCACGTGCCACGCGCTCCATAGCTGAGGGTCTGACAAAAACATAATAAAACTCAGTCCAAAATATGGAATTTTGTATGCAAATGAGAAACTGTGATGTTCCCTCCGCTGAATCTAAACAGAAAGCTGTTGATGAATGAAATATCCTCTTTGCAGGTTGGGGCAGGTTAATTCCAGAAAGTTACCTCAATGAAATATAAGTCCTTCACAGTTGAGAAAAAAATTGTTTTATATATGCAGCAACATTATCCGATAATTGCCTATCGGTTTACAAGTTGTCGATCCAAGCTGTGAAATGTTTGACGGTGCTATGCATATCTAGTGACATTTATCATCTTAGAACACGTGAAAAGTTTTCACTTCATCATAACGGTATGAACTCCAGTCCGTTAATCACCACGCGGAACCTTGTCCATCGGTTAGTGCAAGGAAACCTTCCAGTTTTGTCTTTGACTTCCAAACTTCCACACGTGACAGGGAGATGTTGGGGTTTCACTTCTTCATCCGCCCTAGCGAATCCATTTCCGTAGATCACTTCAATAGTTGTAGTCGAAGCTCGAGTAGTTTGCACTGGCTGATTCAACAAAGCGGTACATGTGAGGAATATGTCAGATAAACTGGCAGCGCGGACCTAGTCACCCGAACATATACACGCCGACTGCACGTTATAGACGTATACAAATCCTGGCGTTAGTTTGATAAACTGATATGCCATTCCGACACTTAAGATGATTTAACTCTTAAGAACAGAACCCGAATGCCAAGCGTTATGACAGGCTTAATAAACCCTGCCCTTGAGCATCAGCGAAGAAACCCCATTGGCGGAAACATGAGATCGTACATGTGTACTTGTAAGCGGTTCTTGCTGCTGTAGATGTATTGTGGACAAATCTAGATCAGTTTATTCGGCGTGGGGTTCACGCCTTTTATAATATGGCTTACTCACGTTCAAACATGTGATAGAAATTATCTCGGATCTTTTCGCCAGCGTGTATCTTTTCTCTTCTGAAGTCTAACATTTAAACAATCTGACAGGAAACGGGCCAAAAGTCGTCCTTTGATACGTTGAAGATTCAATCCCACAAATTAGAGACTTACAGTTCGGATTTCCTTTTCTTTCTACCAGGCGAGATTAAAATTACCTTTTAACGGTTTCAGTGCTACCTCTTTAACGCTCTCAAAAACTCGCGTGTTACCCGACATGCTGAAAATAGCCTTCGGGTACGGCGTATTTGACTCTGCGCGCCCCCTACTGGGCAAAAGGTGACCGCCACGTGCAAAGGTGTTAATTTTAACCTTCAGCTTTGTAAAGAGTCAAGCTGGTTTAATTGAAGACCCTCTGCATGTGATAATTTAGACGCTCGCTAAAGAGGCGCAATTTATTCATTGTTAACAAGTAGTCGTTAATAAGGCAGCATCTCCATTTAGCCATAATTATGAAGACAAATGTATTATTTACAAATGTTAAGTGAACACAAATAGCAATTGTATCGAGCGAGCAAATCTCGGTAGCCCCATTCATTGGGCTCGCCGTATTTCAAGTATTAGTTGTCACGAAAGTATTATCTCTGTCGTTGAGCGATTGGGATTGGTCATTAAAAATTCATGCTTTCATCTTCTTCCTCTGGGCCAAGAATTGGCGCTGCAGATTTATACTGTAATTAACCCGACGTGAAATCCAGTTTGTTAATACCTTACTTCTTTTGCGTCTTCACCATGTTAGTGTATATGTGCTACTGATTCTAATTAAACGGCGTCTATTGTTTTACGTTTTTAATAATTACGTTCTGAAATTTCTGTAGATTTCTAGAATGGTAAAAATATACAGTAAAAAGCCACTGCATATATAGTAAGACAAGTTCTATGGATGAAAAACTTCTTTAGTGCACTAATCGTAATAAAGCAGTTGTTCATCCATTTGCACTAATCGTAATAAAGAAGTTGTTCATCCATTTGCACTAATCGTAATAAAGAAGTTGTTCATCCATTTGCACTAATCGTAATAAAGAAGTGGTTCATCCATTTGCACTAATCGTAATAAAGAAGTGGTTCATCCATTTGCACTAATTGTAATAAAGAAGTTGTTCATCCATTTGCACTAATCGTAATAAAGAAGTTGTTCATCCATTTGCACTAAATGTAATAAAGAAGTTGTTCATCCATTTGCACTAATTGTAATAAAGACGTTGTTCATCCATTTGCACTAATCGTAATAAAGAAGTTGTTCATCCATTTGCACTAATTGTAATAAAGAAGTTGTTCATCTATAGAACTTGTCTTACTTCATCAAACCAACTTCTAAATGCCACTGAAAGAAGTCACTGCATATGTGTTCGTGACCGGTGGTGATACTGTATTTTCTATGTCCAGCAGAATACTGACCAGGGTGGTCATTTTAGGGTGCTGGTCAAATGTTTTATTTATTTGCACCAATATAATGCTACAGTTAGTGGATGTATAGTTCTGTAGCTCAATAACATGTTATCATTGTCAATGGTGTATTAATTTCTGATTATCTTATTGAGTTGTGTATCTATTTCTATCCGTGTATCAAATGACTTGCCTTTGCTTGTTTTTTGTGACGGGTGCCACCGGTGGGGCAGGTCACGCTCACTTTTTCGCGAACACCTGGTAACATCACTTTTTGATAGTGATTCATAAACACCTGCTCATGATATACTCGGAATCGTACAAACGACTCTGCTTTTGGCAGTTATTTCTTATGAATATGGAAAGGATTTCGTCTTTTTTATTTAATATCTTAATGGTAAACAATGGATTCTGACAATAAATTATTGAAATCTTCACTACTGACACAATTACAATACTTCGACGAACATTATTCAAATAAATATTGTTTTATCTGATTAGATGTCCATAACACATGTATCACAATTTTGGGATGTTCCTTCGTGATATTTATATTTTGTTTATAAAATATAAATTACAACTCAAAATAGCTTAGGAAATTCTTTTAAACAAAGTTACAATATCAAGTAAGTGCTTCTCATACCTAATACCCGTGAATATCCGGGGTAGAATAGGTTTTCAGCAACCCATGCTTGCCGTAAAAGGCGACTATGCTTGTCGTAAGAGGTGACTAACGGGATCGGGTGGTCAGGCTCGCTGACTTGGTTGATGCACGTCATCGATCCCAATGGCGTGGACCGATGCTCATGATGTCAATCACTGGATTGTCTGGTCCAGACTCGATTATATACAGACCGTCGCCATATAGCTGCAATATTGCCGAGTGCGGCAAACCAAACCAAACCAAAAAATATAATACCTAATACCCATACTTATATTCATCACAGCATTAACATGGTATATCACTATTATTGCTGTCACAACTTAAAAATTATACCAATACCACTAAACTGAACAATACCAATAAACAACCAGTATCTTATTTGTTTCCATTATTTAGTCAAAACGCATCACGTGTATATTAAGATTATAGCACTATCACGTTGTTTTTTTCAAGAAACGTTTTCATACACCATCGACGAAGATACGTTTCCTTGATTCTGAAATATGATATGTCCAGAAGCATAAATACGTCAACAGCCGTTTTATATATATTCCGAATAAATGTCACGTTTGATTTCCTAGCACGACGATTCGATACGAAAATCATGTACGCCAAGCAAATGCCAAAACAACGCATGACACACGCGCTACGTGAAAATTGAGATAAATGCTTCCTAGAATTTAATATTCTCTGATATCCGGATCTCCTGCCGCGTGGACTATGTACATAATGTGAGGTTATGATTTGAAAAGATCTCTGGCAATGCACACCAAACCTGTGCATGATTATCAGTGCAATACAGCGGAAGCACGGCCATACCCTGGGTGAAGCCACTGGAGTACGCGTGGTTTCATGCACTAGTATTTCGCGTTATTGGCGCATTTTTGACAACAATTCGCCTGTTTTCCTGTTCTGTTTCGCATAAAGACTTGTTTTTCCAATGGCGGACTATGGGAAAAGCGTCGCGCATGTGGCTGCGTTAAAGAAAACTTCATGATGTGTCTATTTAGGAAGAAGTGTGTCTTTATTAGTTTCAGCCACACTGTGTTTATGATAACTCTATTGTTCAGACCCCGGAGGCGCCACTGTATCGAGTTGGGGTATTTTCCTTATCATGTCTGAGAACCGAAAATGTCAATGAAGTGGAAAACTTAATCATTTATGTCTGAAGGATCAGCGCAGTTTAATCAGAATAACGTGATGGCTTCGTGTGAACTGGTATTTGTTTTACAGTATATTGACGATATATGCCGCCGTATTGAGGGTGTTTTGCTGGGTGCGGCGTTGGGCAATATACAAACAATTACCTTTTTAAACATCCATTTTTTTAAAATTATGTGAGAGGCGGGTGCTGGAGGTAGAACAGGACATGCTTAACCTTTTCGCGAACACCTGGTGTCATCATTGATGATCCGTTCATCACTTTTTGCATTTTCGGCAGATAATCGAGATTGATTATCTGGTGTTGACGTTACATATTTTCACCCATACACTTCTTTATTACCTATATTAACTAAATGTCAATAAAGGTCTAGTTTTACTTTTGATATTATTCAACAGTATGCAAATTTGGTAACGTAACTAAATAATCATGATCAATTTGAAACATATTTGGTCACGATAAATGAAATGGAAATACAGTAAATACGTTTATAACGAACACGCTTGTAACGAACTGACGGATAGTACGAACTTAATTTTTGGTCCCGGCCATTTGGTGTATGGATGTTGTATATGTGCGTATAAAGAACTACGGTTATAACAAACTAAATTTAGTAGTCCATTTGAGTTCGTTATAACCGTAGTTTACTGTATTTAAAAAGTAATGAAACACCCTATCATCTGTTTCTTTTGTTATACACTTTGACTACATTTCAAAGATACATTTTAGTTCTTGTTATACACTTTGACTACATTTCAATGATACATTTAAGTTCTTGTTATACACTTTGACTACATTTCAATGATACATTTTAGTTCTTGTTATACACTTTGACT